TCAATCTGATTTATTTGTGCTCACCACTTCGGGAAGGCTATTTCATTGTGCAATTACACGCAAGATTAATGGCATTTGTAGATTAAATCATTTCGAAATTAAATCGTTGAAGGACAGCAAAGATGATGATCTCATTGTCGATGTTAGTTGTGGGTCGGAGCATACAATAATATTGACAAAGAATGGAAAGGCATATGCCAAAGGAGTAAGTAATTTTGCATCATTATTGTTGTGTGAAAGAATGTGTCAATATCCATCTTACACCTATGAATAACATTACACATGGGCCTCTTGCAACAATCCACAAAAGACAAACCAGTATGGTCAACTTGGAATGAACGATTTGTGCCCTCGAACCAATTTTACATTGATTCCTTTTTTGAAAAATTTTGCTCCAAGGTTAGATCTTCCAGATACAGAACACTTGTGGATTACCCTATTGAAGTGGTTTGTGGCAGTTTATTTACAGTGTTCAAGATGAAAAGTGGAACGATTTATTCATGTGGATCAAATTTCTATGGCCAAATCGATCCCTCTCAATCAAAAAATGCATATGTCATGAAACCAACAAGAATTACTCATTTTGAAAGAAAGCATTGAAAGTAGATGCAGTGTATTGTGGATCATCATATACAGTTTTCTCAGTACAAGGTAAACTTTACAAGTTTGGAACTGACGCCAAAGCTATCGACAATATTACCTTAGCAAGTCCATTCGATAACATTGAAAAAGTGTTTTGTGGCAGATCCAATACCGTGCTCATTTCAAAGTTCAATAATATGATTATTAACGATACTCAGTCACATCTAGAGATTCCTTTTCAAAAGGACTCAACGTGTACCTACGATCCTATTAGAGGCTTTTTCCCAAATATTATGGGAGAGTATTTATTTAACAGGAGAGGTATAATAGAATTAACAAACCCTGATAAGGCTTATCTGAGTGTGGATAAGGACGTGCAATTTTTGGAAAGTTTAGTGAATATTTAGGATTTGTTAGCTTAAAGTACATGGCACCTACTTCCTTCAGAAAAGAATATAATCTTATTGATTCATTGCTGGAGAAAACCAAGAAATTCAAATCTTCAACTGATGTAATCAAAGTGGGAAATGGTGAGGTGATTGCATTCCTGCCATTCATCAAAAGAAATATATTCCTCTCTATGAGTTGCTACACAAGAGTAACCTACACGTTTCTGAACATTCCACTCGTATTATACAAAATTTAGTGGACTATTGTTTCACAGAAAACACATCATTTATCAGTGATTACAATTATGAAATGATTCTAGAGATTGTTTATTTTTGGAATTGACATTGTTTAGTCATGACTTTTTACTGTACATTTGCTTTTTGCCATTCGAAACCAATTATCAAACATTTATGACATTGAGAATTATGGCCGAGACAAAGAGAAACAAAGCAAATATGTAAAGTTGTTACTTGACCAAAACATTTATGGCTCAGTTCTTCCTGCAATGACGGCCATAATGATTCCTGATCCCGTTAATAGAGCAGATACAAAATACTTAAAGAGAAATGATATTCAAGCCATTCAAGATTTGTATAACAATGTAGAAACAAGTGATATCATCTTAGTTTTGGATAGGAAATGGATGAAGAAAATTCATTGTCACAAAACACTACTAGCGTCTCAAAGCATGTTCTTTGAAGCCTATTTCAATGGACAGTTCTCCGTGTCAAAAAGAAATTAATGTTTTCACAGACCAAGAGGATCCTGTTCTAGAAGATGACTATGAAGACGAAGAAGAGTCCAACATCAAAACTCGATCATTGGAAAAAGTGTTCATGATGTTTTATGGCATTCAACCTGAAGTGGAGAATGAGCTAGTTATTAGCACATTGGATTGTGCTCACAAATACAGCTGTGAAAGAATAGTTTCCGAATGCGTCAATCTGTTTGAAAGATCATTGAACGAAGAATCTTTTGAAATGGTAAAAAATTGGTTAGATTCCATCGATTCCAGCGAACGAACCGACGTACAAAATCTACTCTTAGCCACCACAACAAAGTGGGACTCCAAACAATCAAGCAAGCATTTTGCATTCAACAACAAGGAACTTAGAGAGAAGATGAAGCCTTTCATTGAAAATTTCGGTGGATTTGTTGACGACAAGTTTAATCCTGATACCACAACCCATTACATTTGCTCAGGCTCACCATCGTTGGATGATTTAGGATTCATTGCTGCAGTTGTTGGCAATTGCTCTCTACTCATGGACTCTTTTATCACATCATGTGTGGAGTGTGGTCAATTTCTTGAGGAAGATCCTATATAGTGAAAACTCCTTTGGATGAAAAAGTTGCACAATTACTCGCTCTTAATGATCGAAACAGAAAGAGTGGTGAAAAAATGTTCGCGTCACTTCGATTCCATCTCGTATTTAATAGTACAATCAAGAAAAGACGCTGGGAGAGAATACTCAAAAGTGGAGGAGGACAAATTGCAGAAGATGACGACAGTAATCGTTTAGATTTTTATGCAACGCATATTGTGTGTGACTCGAAAATGAAACGAAAAACAAAACTTAGAGATGCTGTTAAATTTAAAATGCAAACACCAATCGTTGTGGATTGTAAGGATATGATCGATGTTATTTTGACAGGAGATTGGGAAAGTTATTCCTGTCACGACCTTCTTCGAGAGTCAGAAAAGAAGAAGTCCAAAGGATCAGAAGAAGAAGAAGATTAATGTTGTGAAATGCCAAAATTTTCGTACAAGAGTTCATGTAAATCATTTTCATCATGTATTTGGAACAAGTTTA